TGTATATTCACACATAATTACTGTAAAAAATACTCCCCCTCTTCCCTCACAGCTTCTAAAGACAGAAATAAGAAACACCTTCAAATAACTGTAAATAATAAACCCCGTCACGCTAAACACTTCAAAGTGGAAGTGCAAATATCTCAAGAAGCTTGGAGAACTACACATAATTATGAATTATAGCTCTCAGAACCAGATACAGATGATCTGTCAGATAATTTTTCATTCCAAACAGATTTTAAAATACTATTCCCCATGATCTGGTAGAGAGAGGAACTGCTTACTGATAACCACAGTTCTTCAAGGAAAGCCTGCGGAGCAGGAACATGTGTGCTGAGCTGCTGAGATGAAGATTACGTTTTTGCCTTAGCAGTACCCATGCAGAAGACCCCCACCTTTGTTCCCTCACACCAGGGCACAGCCCCAGGGGAGGCAGCCTTTCAGTAACACTACTGATGGGCAGAGCTCTGGAGAAACATGTATTGGTCTCGCAAGGCTTCACCACAGGTCCTGATATTGCCCAAGATCCAGTAGAATCACAAAAGATGTAGCTGCATTTCCTGCTTTGGATACAGAAGGAGGCTGAAGAGATACCTTGAAGAGATGTGGGACTGTGAGATGGGGTTTGGGGAAGAGAATGAATGACTGGCTCTGATGGGGCCTCCAGCAGGATCCTTACATGGCTCTGAAGAAACAATCCTGCTAGGGAAAAATTCCTTGTAAGTGAGAAGTACCTACTGCTGCAAAGACCTTGTAGAAAACCCTTGACCAAAGCACAACTTAATAGTAGATGTCTTGGCCACCATGAAACACAAGTTTCCTGTGAGGATCTGCTCCCTGCACAGAAAGCAGCAGCCTCAGGGCTGATGTGAGCTGACCTGCACCACCACCTCTTTCCACTCTAGAATAGCCACTGAAGTCCAGGATGGAGATCTTCCTTTTCCTCCCTCCTTCACAGCAAAACCCTTTCAAAAGCAGACTGTGAACCGTGAAGCAGAGGATCCCAAGAAGAGACTGGGTAGCAAAGCTAGCAGCTAACAATGCCAGAATAGCTACAGAGAGCAGGCAAGGAGTGACCAGCTCACAGTCACAGTAGAAGAGGTGGTAGGAAGAAGGACTGATATATCTGGAAGGAAAAGACCAGGTTTCTTGCCTATTCCTTCAAAGTGTTACAAAACCAAAAGTGGTGCTCACCTAGCTTACAAAAGGCCTGCAGCAAGTGAAAAACTGGCACTGTGGCCTGCAGACAGGTAGCCTTCCTACTAGATGAGGGTAGGACAAGCCACTGACAGGTGGGAACAAGCCCAGTGCCAAAAGTGGCAAAAAGAGAGGTCTAGTGTGCTACATTCTTCAGTCTTGGTACTCAGATTTTGCAGTCATCAAAGAAGTAAAGCCTTCAGTACAGGTTGCAGTTATCTCGAGAGCTGCAGGCTCCAGCCATGGGACTTTGGATAACAATGGCCAGATCCAGCTTTCAAAAGGATGTGTAGACGTGATGTGTGCTACATGCAGAGGGAAGCGCGTGGCCTCAGAAACCCAGCAGCCCTCATTTGAAAAGTTGCTGGGAGTAAGCCCATTTCATCAAGTCCAATCACTTGGACTGTCTGCCCCTTCAGGACATCCTCATTTGCCTTAGTGTTTCCTTCTTCACCCCAGTGATTACAAATGAAGAGGAAAGCAAAGAACAGAGCAAAGAGATGAACCTGGAGAACAGCTGTCGGCATTTTTTGCTGAGCAGTGCACTCACATGGCAGGACACAGGTGCCTACAGGAGAGTGGGCCTAGAACAACTTGATGCAAACAGCAGCCTTAAGCTACTCGTGTCAAAGTGTCCAAGAGAGTGCAGTGGCTTTCAGGAATCATCTAGCAAAGTCTCACAGGCCCCCGCTACCTTCCTCATTAAACCTCGAACAAAGCTGCAGGGTGTGTTAGCGCACTCTGGCTAGTCTTTCCCAGGGGGAAAAGAGAAAAGCTGGAGTCAAAGACAGTGCAAAGGGCTGGATTCCGTGGTAGGACTTGGAAACAGCAATAAAGGGGAAAAGCAGCAGCTGGAGGAGAAAGAATACAGGGCCCCTTTTGTCACCATGTAACATACAAAACTTACTATGCTGCTACGATAGTAGTAGTCAAGAGCCAGCAACAGCAGCTTTCCCCGCCCCCAACCATACAGACTGTTTTCTCTAAAGGCAGAATACTCGAGTGGCAGGGATAGTTCCCTGGGCAGCTCAGTGCATCAGAAATAGCCACTTGGCTAGCAGGCCACTGGGACAGCATGAAGTGCCTGGAGCAAGCTTTAGACCCCTCGCAACATCAGTGCCACAGAAGGCTCTGCTGCTAGGTCTCCAAGCCTGACCACAAGTGTGCTGAGAACAATAAGGCAAGAGAGCAGGATAGCAGGGTTTGTCCTCCAACATATGGCTGGGCTTTCAGCATTTGCATAAAGAGCAGTCCACCTTCCCCTAAAGGGTAATGAGACAGGGAGAAGGTGGGAAGTGAACTCCTGATGTGCCTGAGCAAAGCTCAAGTGTCTCCTAAGTGCCACTTTAGAGGATAGTCTTCTCAGAAACAAAGTTGAGCTCAAATGAGAGGCAGGTGGAAGAAGAGCATTTTTAGCCTTTGCACCAAGGCCTTGTCTGTCCCTGTCTGAAATCTGGCCTGCTGAATAAGACCTGCTGAGAAACCTTTCTGAAAATGTCTGCTGCTCCTTACTGGATAAAGATGTTTGAGTTTGGGGTGTGTTTTGAGGGCAGGGGGAAGAGGTGGCACACAAGGAGGAACTACAGGTGAAAGAGACAACTTGCTGTGGCAACAATGAAAGCATGCAATCTGCATCACAGACAGGCCATAAAAATGCTTGAATCATCTATCATACTTTAAATATAGCTATTTATAAATTAAGTTATTTTCTCCAGCATCTTTCATTTTAAGTATTGCATTGGTTTAAAGAAGATGAAGAGACAGGCCAATATACAGATGCTCATCTTTGTTCTCCAACCTGCACTTAATTAATTGTGAGTTGCTTTAGAAATAATTTAGGACAATGCTTCCACTGCACATTGCTGAAGTCTGAGGCAGTGCCTGTGTTTTCACTTCCCAGAACACGTGCAAAACGCTCACCTCTGCCAGCTGAAAAAAACCAACACCAACAACAAAAAAAACCAACCAAAGCCCAGCCTGTGTGCTGACTGACTGGGGGAAATCAGACAAATAAGAGGTTGTTTTTCCTCCCTGCCCACCTCTCCTTCAAGTAATCCTTTGCTCTGTCACCTAATTCTGTTTAAAAACCTTAAAATATAGATGTTTATCGTCAATACATCACATGGAGCAACCATGCTAGTTACTGTGATGGGCAGATAATCAGGGCTTGCTTTCAGAGCCACGCCATTAGTCATGGTGATGACAGCTTCAGACGCTGAATTTCTGATGTTAGGAAACAAAAGTTACTGATTTATTATTATTAATAAAATAATTGCTTTAATGCGGTATTTAAAATAATTTTAAACATCTGATCAATAAGATACAGTACACAAATATGGAAAATGCTGCAACTTTACATAAAAAGTAAAGCTAAGCATTTAATTATACAAAAAAATTTTGCCTGATGCCATCAATATCTTGCAAACTATAGCTTAGTCAAAGTACTGCTTTTCTTTTATATATATATATATATGCTATATATACATATATAAATAATATACAGCATTCATTTACTAAATTTGTTTACTACTGTTCCAAGAAAAAAAAAAAAAGAAAAAACATAACCCATTCAAAACTTATTGAATTTGGTAACTATCTGCAGCAGTTCTGACAGTGGAAGGCGTTTGAATCATCGCTTCAAGTTTTGAAGTAGCATGCCAAATAACCATAGGAAGCTCGTTCCTT